TCCCTGACCTCCGGCTACCTTCTCCACTTTGAATGCGCCAGGGGGCTGTCCCTGCATAAAGGGATTCCTCGGGGGCCCTGAAACCGTGAGTCCTTAATATCATCGACAAGCCTTGGCAAAGGAAAAAAGGGTAGGTGACTGCAGTGGTTAAATGTAAATGGGGTTGTGTGCGTTTGCTGTAGAAAGGAAAGGGTGAAGTAAAAATGAGGACATCATTCTCATACAAACATGGAAGCTGCCAACAATGGGAAAAAATCAATAAGGAAAACCTGCCAATGTTTTAGCTTAAAACATAGAGGGACAACGACGTAAGGAGCAACACGTGAAGAGACTTTGATACTTCCGGAATGACTGACCTGCCTTGGGTACGTTAAACAGAATGTAGATGATGTGATTATTATTTTGCTTGTTTACCCACGAAAGCCTCACTGAGTCCCCAACTCTTTTCAGGAGGGCCCTGCCAGATTCTTACACAAGGGGGCGATGTTGCTGCTGTGCAATCACATTTGAATAATTTGCAGGTAATTTTTTCGGCATTGGGATGTTTGGCCAATACCGGTAACAATGTGTGTGGGGACTGGTAGTGTAGCGGTTGGCACGCTGTGCTGCGAACCCGGCAGACCCGAGTTCGATTCCTGCTCACGGCCAACACTTCCGACGATTATCTGAACCGGTACTGGGCCTCCCCTAGGTCGACTCGGCCTCAAATGACTACCTGGTGCGGTGTGTAAACATCGGCACTCGAGAGACAAAGACAAAGAGTGTGGTGCTGGCCACCCACCCCCTTGTGTGGCGTGCCAGCCTTAATAGATGCTCACTAACATCACTTGCTCCAACAGTCTATTACAGGCTATACAAGGGGTTCTAGATTTGAAGCTTTCGTGACTGCAAGGATCCATACTCTTTGGTTCTATTCGGTAAAGTCACGTAGGTAAAAAATAAAACAACAAAAATCACGACGTTTCGGCCACAACACAAGCGGCCTTCATCAGGTGAAGGGACCAGACTGTCTCGAGGACAGCGCTGGAGTGAAACACAGCCAAGCTCAGACCGCGACCTTTATCACCTGATGAAGGCCGCTTGTGTTGTGGCCGGAACGTCGTGATTTTTGTTGTTTTATTTTTTTACCTACGTGACTTTACCGAATAGAACCAAAGAGTATTTGAGGGGTCTTTGTTTTGTGGTTCGCGATGAGAGGAAACTGAGGAACCCGGAGCAAACCCATGCAGAAGAACAGAGTTAGAACCTACAGACTTCTACGCAGAGAGAAGCCCGAGTCGGGAATCGAACCCAGGCCCCTTGTTGGAGAGAGGCGCGAGTGTTACCCACGATACCACCACCCTGCCTGCCGCCCCAGACAAGAGGGTGGTCTCTTGTTAGCGAGCACCTATTGAAGCCTGCGTGGTGCACGCACGCGTGGTATTTCACCGGAGCCACGCGATGCTGCACTTTCACTTTCGACTTTGTACAAACCACCACGTCAAGTACTCATTTAACCACCACATCAAAGTACTCTCTTCAAGATAAATCTACCGAGAGGAAGCCCAAGCCAGGTTCCGATACCATGTGCCACTGTGATCTACATGGCCAGAAATTGAGCACAGATCAAAAGGTGCTTAGCACGTGTTAAATATTATGACACATAACTACAATGTTACACACGTCTGCATCCACGTCCACACACACACGCCTACACACCTCTGTATTCACACACACGTCTGCATACACACACGTCCACACACACGTTCCACCACACGCTCACACGTCTGCATACATGCGTCCGCACACACACGTCCACGCATAAACACACGTCCGCATACACACACGACCACACACACGTCTGTATACACATACACACCGTCCACACACACACACGTCCACACACATACACAGATACTCCCCTCCCCCGCTGCCCCCACCTCCTGGAGGCCGCAGGCAGCAGCCTTGCCTTACCCGGGCGCCGTATGGAGCCCGTTGGTTGCCTAGCAACTGCGCTGATGCAAGCGCCAATCGTCGCCGTGGTTACCACATTATCTCTGCGGCGACTGCACCCACGTTAACCCTTGGACTGCACGACGCGGAATGCCGGGAAGACGCGGAGAGAGGGGCGAGCGGGATACAGAGACAGAAGGGAGAGAGGGAGGGAGAGATGGCAAGAGAATAGAACTAGAGCAGAGAACAGAGGAGATAACGGAGAGGGAGGAAAGGAGAAGAGGTGGGAGAAGAGGAGGCCAAGACAGGAGAAGAGAGAGAGAGGGAGACTTAAGAGACAGAAGTAAAATCAAGTCGATGGAGTGAGATTAATGAGAGAGGAGAGAAATAAGGGAGTGCAGTGAGGGGAGAGAAGGGGAGGACGTGGGGAGTGGGATGGTGGGAAGCGATGGGTTAACGGGGGGCTTCGCACCAAACGGAGCATTGAAAATCAGAACGTGCGCAAAAAACGAGAGAGACCAGAGCCACAGCGTCCGTGAGCAGGCAATGGACGCTTCACCTCTCAATTACCAACTCTGGCCATGAGCGCTCCCAAGTCACCAGCACATTCTGAGCTCATTGACGTCCTGTGCGCAGAGCCCCACTCCGCACTGCGTGTGGCGTCCTCTGCAGTGCGGCCTCTACCACGAGCGCGTTACTGCACGTGAGACAAGCGGAGTCTCATCATGGCCGTGTGAATGTACAGAACCCTCGTCTCATCCCATACAGAACCCTCGTCTCATCCCATACAGAACCCTCGTCTCATCCCATACAGAACCCTCATCTCATCCCATACAGAACCCTCGTCTCATCCCATACAGAACCCTCGTCCCATCCCATACAGAACCTTCGTCTCATCCCATACAGAACCCTCGTCTCATCCCATACAGAACCCTCATCTCATCCCATACAGAACCCTCGTCCCATCCCATACAGAACCCTCGTCTCATCCCATACAGAACCCTCGTCCCATCCCATACAGAACCCTCGTCTCATCCCATACAGAACCCTCGTCTCATCCCATACAGAACCCTCGTCCCATCCCATACAGAACCCTCGTCTCATCCCATACAGAACCCTCGTCCCATCCCGTACAGAACCCTCGTCTTATCCCATACAGAACCCTCGTCTCATCCCATATAGAACCCTCGTCTCATCCCATATAGAACCCTCGTCTCATCCAATACAGAACTCTCGTCTCATCCCATATAGAACCCTCATCTCATCCCATACAGAACCCTCGTTCCATCCCATACAGAACCCTCATCTCATCCCATACAGAACCCTCGTCTCATCCCATAGAGAACCCTCGTCTCATCCCATACAGAACCCTCGTCTGATCCCATACAGAACCTTCGTCTCATCCCATACAGAACCCCCGTCTGATCCCATACAGAACCCTCGTCTCATCCAATACAGAACCCTCGTCTCATCCCATACAGAACCCTCATCTCATCCCATACAGAACCCCCGTCTCATCCCATACAGAACCCTTATCTCATCCCATACAGAACCCTCGTCTCATCCCATACAGAACCCTTGTCTCATCCCATACAGAACCCCCGTCTCATCCCATACAGAACCCTCATCTCATCCCATACAGAACCCTCGTCTCATCCCATACAGAACCCTCATCCCATACAGAACCCTCATCTCATCCCATACAGAACCCCCGTCTCATCCCATACAGAACCCTCGTCTCATCCCATACAGAACCCTTGTCTCATCCAATACAGAACCCTCGTCTCATCCCATACAGAACCCTCATCCCATACAGAACCCTCATCTCATCCCATACAGAACCCTCGTCTCATCCCATACAGAACCCTCATCCCATACAGAACCCTCGTCTGATCCCATACAGAACCCTCGTCTCATCCCATACAGAACCCTCTTTTCATCCCATACAGAACCCTCATCCCATACAGAACCCTCGTCTCGTCCCATACAGAACCCTCATCTCATCCCATACAGAACCCTTGTCTCATCCCATACAGAACCCTCGTCTCATCCCATACAGAACCCTCGTCTCATCCCATACAGAACCCTCATCCCATACAGAACCCTCGTCCCATCCCATACAGAACCCTCATCCCATCCCATACAGAACCCTCGTCTCATCCAATACAGAACCCTTGTCTCATCCCATACAGAACCCTCGTCTCATCCCATACAGAACCCTCATCCCATACAGAACCCTCATCCCATACAGAACCCTCGTCTCATCCAATACAGAACCCTCGTCTCATCCCATACAGAACCCTTGTCTCATCCCATACAGAACCCTCGTCTCATCCCATACAGAACCCTTGTCTCATCCAATACAGAACCCTTGTCTCAACCCATACAGAACCCTTGTCTCATCCCATACAGAACCCTCATCTCATCCCATACAGAACCCTCATCCCATCCCATACAGAACCCTTGTCTCATCCCATACAGAACCCTCGTCTCATCCCATACAGAACCCTCGTCTAATCCAATACAAAACCTCTGTCATATCAATACACCCCCATTCTTCATCTGATACAGGATCCCCGTCTTATCCGATAGTGAATACTCGGTCTCGTTTGCGATAGAACACTTGCTCTTTTATCATTTCACGTATTATCAGATGCACAACACTTGTCTCATATGATGCAGAAGACGTTCTGTTTTATCTGGTCCATGACCTCTCTGTTCCAGAATTATGTAAACCTCTAGTAATTCATAGCAGGATTGACTAAATATTCAATGTGCTTCTTTGACCGCCTTGTTCATAGACAGCTGCGTGCGGTGTTTGATAGTGGTATGCAGATAAAGGGTAGAGTGGTGGCTCAGTAGTGAGTGCTCTAACACAACGAACCCGGTCACCATGGTGACACGGGGGACACGGTGACAGGGGGATAAGGAGACAGGGAGACAGGGGAAAATGGTCAAGGGGAAGATGGTCAAGGGGAAGACGGTCACGTGGTAACATGGTAACATGGTGACATGGGGACCCGGGAAGACAGAGACACAGGGACACGGGGACACGGGCTATGCCTCACCTGGCGAGTGGTGGTGGGGAGTCTGGCGGCGTATGGAAGACGTGCGAGTAGGACTGGTAGGGCGTCTTGCGCAGGGCCTGCAGCAGGCTGGGCCGGTACTCGGGGTCAATGCACCACAGGGAACCCTTTCCAATGCCCTGTAAACACGCACACACACATGCACAAATATACCCGGATGTATGCATAAGAAAACACATATAAAGACACGAAATGAACCCTCGTCACACTCGATACAGAACCCTGGTCTCATCCGATAGAGAACCCTGGTATCATCCGATACAGAACCTTGGTATCATCCGATGCAGAACCCTGGACTCATCCGATGCAAAACCCTGGTCTTATCCGATACAGAACCCTGGTCTCATCCGATACAAAAACCTGGTCTCATCCGATACAGTACCCTGGTATCATCCGATACAGAACCCTGGTCTCACCCAATACAAAACCCTGATATCATCCGACACAAAACCCTGGCATCAGCCAATACAGAACCCTGGGCTCATGCGATACAGAAATCTGGCATCATCCGATACAAAACCCTGGCCTAATGCAATACAGAACTTGGGCATCATCCAATACAGAACTTTGGTCTCATCCGGTACAGAACTTTGGTCTCATCCGATACAGACACACACATGTGATCCAGAAGGCAGGTAAAACAGACCAGTGCGCTGTGGTATGAATACACACCACACCATGCATGCATGCATCCATGCATTTAAAACTGAGTCAATCTAAAGGAGGCCCAGGACAGGTTCAGATACCACTTGCCACTGATGAGATAACACATTTGCATCCACATGATGCATGCTGCTCAAAATGTGTGGACGCGTACAATGACGTTAACAAGCAAATTTCTCCATAATATGCACACGTGGGTTGCATATGTCTCCTGCACCTATGCTATCGTTTCAAGTGCTGGAAAAGTCAATATTATAATTGGTGTTATCAGTTTTATCGGTATTGAGCTATCAAGAGTCACGGCACGCCGGGATGAAGATCGGCCATTTGCTCCAGAACTCCTACAGTTGGCACTGCCTCGTGTCGTTACGCCATGCGAGCCGACACCGATGAACTAGTTTTGTAGCAGCCACTTCAGTAGGCCTCTTTAGCTGTAACCAGGGCAGAGTGATTTGCTTCGTGTCAGTCGCCCGTTGCGCTTCAGCAGATCCGAGCAATCAGAGCTGGGTTGGGCCAAATTGCGCAAACAAACAAAATTAAACCAAGACAGGTTGAGATGGGGGTTGAGATGGAACCATAAATTCAGTGCGCACGAGAGCCCGGTCTAATGATGATGTCATGGCGGTTAGAGGCCTGCGTTCAATCCAACCCGCTGGCTCAACGGGTCTGACACAGCCATCATGCACCTCTTGGCCACCGCACCTTCAAATTGGTGTGTTTACCCCAGCGCAGAGAGATATAACGCACCTCAAGGGGCCCCCTGCCTGATTAAACCCGAGGGGAATAGAATTGAGGTCACAAAATACAGGACTCCCTCGTTGGGCCCTTCACGTAGGGATCCGTTGCTCTTGGGTCAAAGCCACAGAGGGCTCACGCGAGACACTCAAACACCCCCACACATTTGGTTTCTTCTTTAATTCCACCCGGGCCATACTTGAGGCCTAGCCTCAATGAAGCCGTGCAGGACGCGGAGCAGCCTCCCTCCCCATCCCCATTAAAGGGGGCAGGGGGTGCCGTCTGAAGCTGGGAGCGGCGCCTTACGGAGGCGCTCCCCACTGCAGTGCCGTCCCTCTTGGACCGTCGTGACAGCACGGGGGGGGGGGGGTCCACAAGCGGCGCATCTCACTCCGAGATCGCTGCTGGGCTATTTGTCATTTAAGAAACCCACATTTAGTCTGAACGATAATTACACGTAGGTTGTTTTCGCAGGCAATATTATCGTTCATCATTGATTTTGTGTTAGATCGCACATGGATCTGGCAAAAATTTAATTCGTGTCTAAGGGTCCGAGAGATGCTCGATGCAGTTTCAAGGAAAGCGTCGCATTATCTAATCGCGAGCTGTGGCTGTGAGAGTCGCTCTCCTGCCTCACCAGTGGGCAAGCTGAAACAAGAAGAACTGGTGCGTAGTTAAAGCGCTTTGTCCGCCACGTGCAATTTAAATTTGCTTGGCTTTGTCGGATGGTGGAGGGTCTTATGACATAAACTTGACCAGATCGTTACTTGCATTTAGTAAATATGCATTTTTCGCATTCAAGCAATGGTGAAATCTCACCGATTGAGAATGTAGAGTTCACCATGTCCTAGCCACGCGACTGGACATGTGACGCAATGAGCCGAAGAATCATCGTTGCCACGACTCCTACAGGTAGCGGGAGCCTCACGGTGTCACACCAGGGGACCGCCGTGGAACACCACATACCACAGAAGCAACGCACACCGCCGCCCGCACGCTCGCACGCCGCCGCCGCCCGCTCGCTCGCACGCTGCGGCGCTTCGCACTATCTTAATTGAAATCCTGCGTACGACGCCTCCCCGTCATGATTAATAATTGATTGGATTGTAATGTATTGTTGAGGCCAGGGGCTCAAGGCAATTTTTGTTGTTGTTAGTTGCGTTTGTGAGAATACAATTACGGCGGCTTTAATTGTTGCGATGTGACTGCACTCGCTGAGCCATTTTTACGTTTAAGGCGTTATTACAGCAGGTGTGTGTGTGTGTTATTTACACCAAGGTGAAGGACCGCATGGAAAAACACAACGGACGTGCGCTGGCGAGGGCTGCTCCAGATACATACGCACACCGCCGCCTACCTCTCGTTCAGCTTCATGGATTGTAAGCACTGTAGTGTTTGCGAGTGCCTATTAAAGCTGGCATGACAAAAGAAGTGGAGCCAACAAACGTGCAAGATCACAGACTGCCTGTGTCTCCCAGGAGTTGATGCTCACAACCATGCAACACTACTTCGCAAGCAGGCCACTTTAGGTTGAGTCGACCTAGTGGAGGCTGAGGATAGATTCCAAACCAAATGACATTGTAGTTTTGCCCTGTGAGGGCAGTGGTTTAGCAAGATGTGATGCAGAGAACGCACATTGAGTCACGAACCGCTGAAACTCAAAACACACAGTAGAGGACTCAAAAATGCACACGGACATCATATTTGCATATAAACACAATAAGCGAATACAAATTCATACATAGGACCCAGATTAGCACAACGATAGCAATAATCATGACTTATTTACACAGGTAATCTACACTTACCCTTTCTTTTTCAGGATCCTACTTCATTGGGATGTCATTTTGCCAATTCCGGTTATATTGCATATTTGTTTTTTTTAGCTATGGGAGGAAACCAGAGAACCTGGAGGAAACCCATGTGGAACCAGGCGAGAAAATACAAAATTCCATGTAGATTGGCGCCCGAGTCGGATATCGAACCCTGGTCCTTCACGCTGTGAGGTGCGAGCGTCGCCACTGTGCCAGGCTGCCCGCACACAAACAGCAGACACAGTGGGCAGATGGAGGCACGTGTTGGTGGTTTAGCAGTCACGGCTCGCTCTCCGCCGACTTGCAGTTGAATCACACATGGGGTGAGCACGCCGGCGAGCGCACGTACAGGACAGCACGCATTCACGAGTGCGTGTTGAGAGCATGGCATGTGACCAACACATTACGTCAGTTTAACACGTAAGCTTTCGCGACCAATGTCATCCATAAATAGCTTTTTTTGGGTTAGAGAGCGTAAACGTAAATGTGTCATTAAATCCGCCACAGCCAATTATAGTAAGGTTCGTCACATAAACAGAACATGCCAATTCGTTACTAGTACAGCAGACAGGTATGTTGAAAGCAAATCTACAACATTTACAATCTGAGTACAACGTTTCGCCAGTAATTACAACTAGCTTCATCAGGCGACAGCCAGATTTGAGAAATCCTCCTGTTTCCTGCCATATATAGAGGGGTAGATGTGAGATTGTATCACTACCAACGATACTCACCTGACGTGGTGGTACACCACCACATGACACGAATAATATAATCAAGAAGAAAAAAAAGCCTCTCTGACTTGTATTTAACGGGTCTGAAAAGGGATTGGTTAGAGGCAGGGAATTTGAAGGGATTGGAGGAGAAATACAAAAATGGAAAGAGCGGGATACGGAGGATGATTGCAGGGAGTTCGGTTGGGATCCGTTCGAGAAAGTAGGAAGGTGATTGGCTGGAGGGAAAGTGGGTCAAAGAACCTTACAGAAAGGGGTTTGAGGGATAAGGGGAAAACGCGAGAGCTCGGCATGCTTGGAGTGAAGGGAATCCTTGCAGACTGTGTCTCGTGCCTAAGGAAATAAACACTCCAAATTGACACCCAACAAACTGTGTCGGGTGTCACTACACATATGTAATGCTCTTAGCTCTTAGCATTGTCCCGACCACCAGCTCAACAGAGCTGAAGGTCTGGTCATATTCTTGTTTAGGCCAGCAATTAAAAAAGTTATTTCACTGCTGCTTGATTGGTGAGTAGCCACAATTTCAACCCTTTCAAGTTGGTGGCCTACACAATAACTTGGCCGCATGTTCAGCCCTTGTTGAGCTACCACACAAAGCACTGCACACAGCCAAGCTCCAGTGAGCATCACAAACCTCCTGCAGATAAGGAATACAAGGGGTCTCTTCCTCATTCTTCAACACAAACACTCCTCCCGCCACCAAAGGCCGACCGTGGGAGATGCAGGTCATTCTCATTTGCTGCACCGCACACCTATGGAATAACCTCCCCGAGACAACGAGATGCTCCATCGCCTGCATAACTACATTCAAGATTACAACTAAACACACGCTCACCTACAACGATTAACTTACAGCCACATCTCTAATGCGGGCATGGTGGTGGGGAATTATTTGAAGAACGTAAGGACTGTTTCGTTCTTTTTGATTGGGTTTTTTTGTACAGATTTAATACTTCTTAAAATTATATTTGCTGTAATATTTTTGTATGTGTTTGATGTGATGTCGCCTTTAAAGGTGCCACAGATTTGTTAAAAATGAAATCAACTTGACTTGGTCTGGACAAGGCTGAGAGGCCTTGCACGTGCAATGCGTTGGTCACGTGACATGCACACAAGATTGCTGCCCCATTGTCACAGCTGCCACAGGGAGATGGAATTGAATCGGGAGCC